ATGTTTGGGACACTTGTGATTGTTCTGTTTTTAATCATCGCCAACTGGTTCCTGAAGCGCATCTATCCCAGGCTAACACCGCGCTTGAGACTGGTCCGGGGTATCTTCTTCGGCTGCGTCAGTGGCATTCTGTCTGCACATTCCCTCTTGATTGCCAAGAGCGCAGTCGAGCTTCTCGTCCGGACCATCATCGACCGTCACAACCAGTTTAATCGCTGGGAGTCCTGGATGATCCTTATCGGTCTCGTTACCTTCGCCTTGACGCAGCTATATTACATGCACCGCGGATTGAAGCTGTGCAGCACCAGCGTTCTATACCCTCTCATTTTCTGCGTCTACAATGTCATCGCCATCATAGACGGTCTGATCTATTTCCATCAATCCGCCAGATTGTCCCATCTACACGCAGGTCTACTCGCCCTTGGAACCGCCATTTTATTAGCTGGAGTTGTATGTCTCAGTTGGCGTTTGGAAGAGCCCGATGAAGAACCGTCCTCGCCCATCGCCTCGCGGCACAAGGGCAACGTGCCAATGCCACAAACAGCTCTTACGCCGGGCCTTGGTCTCGTCCACGGCATACTGGAGGGAGAGCCAACGTCTCCAGTTGACCTCGAGGAGCAGTTGCCGGGTCTCCACGGTTCTATAACCGAACAAAGAACGCGGCAAAGTGCGGACGAGCGAACACCGCTACTGATGCGAGCGCCGACTGGCCCCGCCTTCACAGTAGCCAAACGACCCTCACTAAACACCAAGCAATCACACAGCCCGAGTGCAAGCCCCTCCGCTCCACGCCGACCGGGACGAAGGCGGAGGATGACCATATCCGAGGAAACAAACGAGATTTGGAAAGAGTTGAATGACAGAGATTCGGCTCCATCTCCAATCAGACGCTCTGTGGACCTGGAACGACGACCGCGCTCTGGAACCCTGCCCGCGCGCCGGAAGAACAATTCAGGGACATGGTTGAACCAAATGAGGCGACGATCGTGGTTCGACGGCGTGGGGTTGGGCATTCAGCGTGATCGCAGCATATCCCAGGGCAAGAGACCTATGGACAGCGATACTTCGCTGCTAGATCATCCGGACCCAGAAGACGAGATGCACTCCGATACGGATGCGCCACGAAGTCCGGACACACGGAGGCGAGGGATGTGGGGCTTTGGCGAGAGAAAGGACCAGGAAGGGCTGGGTGACTGGTTCAAACTGAAGTGGTGGCGGAAGAAATAGAGAGATGGTGAGGAAGAGGGCGATGACCACGACAGAGTATGAGATACCACTATACGCTTCCATTGCCAAAATTCATACGAATGAACGTTGATTATAAAGATGCCCTGTACTGGCCGTATCATAACAGTCAGTGTTTTCAGAGGGACTAACAACTCAACAATGCCCTCATCAGCCTATAAGAATAGCCCCTTCCCCGCCTTATCGCAGAATTCCCAGCCTGAGTGGAATAGGGTATATACACATCCTCCCCCCCTTCTACAGCACCCCCTCCTTCCTCTGCCCCGTGAAAAAAGCGAGCCCGTAGTCCTCGGTCGAAAACGTAATCTTGCTCCCCTTGGGGAAGAAAAACACGTCTCCCGGCTTCGCGGTCACCTTCTTTCCCGTCTCGTCGGAGATGTCGAAGGAGCCTTCGACAATGATTTTCATCTCGTCGTAGCTGTAGGTGTAGACGAGGGGTGTGCCTTTTTCGAGCCGGTAGAAACCGGCGGATATGGGGGAGGTGGAGTTGACTTTTTCGCTCGAGAAGACGTCGCCTGGGGGCGTTAGTGGGGAGGGAGGGAGAGGGGAGAGGAGAGAGGGGAGAGGTGGGTTTGGAGGAGGAGATGGAGGTTGTGAAGGGAAGAGAGGGTGGTGTACCGAGATACGCGTTCTCGTTCGCGACGAGCGGGGGCTTGAATTCCTTTTGCGCGCTGGGGTAGTGCTGCATTGCTGGGGACGACATGATGTAATCGCTAGCTCCCTCACTTAAAATGAAAGCGCTCGAAACTCTATATGTTAAAAGGTGAAGGGTTGTGTGCGAGCAGAGGGAGGAGTACGTTGTAAGGTATTGCAGCGCAACGACACCACCAGTACTATTTATACCGCACTACAAACACATGCCCACCGCGTACATCTACACCAAGCGTATCTCACCCATATAAATCAGCGGTTCCGCACCGGGCCATCAGAACGACTGGGCGCCATCCTGCGCTACGGGGAGCCGTTTACGGAAAGTAGTAGTTTCAAAGGCCGATTAAGTCTAAGCCGCAGGGTGACAGATGCGGTATTTTGTGTGCAGCGCCTGCATAGAAGTGATGATGGAGGCGGATGGAGTTTGGATGCGGCGGGGATGTGATTGGTCCGTATTGCTTTGCCCGATTAGGCTGGCGGCGTTTTCGGGTGGGTGTAGTGTCTAGCCTTCATCGATACGGTAGATGAAGCAGCATGCGCAGGTGGAGATAACGCGATGAGAGCTGGGTGGAGGTGATCTGCAAAAGCAAGTCCCAGTACTTCATTCTCACGGTGTTGTGCATCGTCTGCACCTTACACCAAGTGGAAGCGATGCACACTTCTTGTTCCCTTTTTAATCAACCGGTCTACTTCACCGTTCATGAAGCCATCCACGTACGCCTCCCCTATGACCTGCCACGCCTCTCTCACACCCGTTCTTCGCAGGATAAGCGGTATACTGCACCCAAACAGCACTGCAACGGCGTCCCCAGGGCGAGCTCTACAAGGCGCCATGCCGATGTGGTCTTCACTAGTGACCATGAGCCGTCGCGATTTCTTGCGCGTGGTGTCCAGGAAACGAGAAAGGAAGTTATCGGCATCGTCGGAATCCACACTTGCTAGCAAAGTAGGTGGGTGCATGGTCAGGCGATGAGAAAGAGACGTAGGTTGTAGAGTGGGCGGAGGTAGAGAGTCGTAAAGGGAAGGGTGCGTGGAGGATGTGATTGTTTCGATGAGCTGTTCGAGGGTGTATGGTCCGAAGCGTAAGTGGCGATTCTGTTGGAACCATGCCGCGAAAGCAGGGTCAGGAGAGCCTTCAGTAGCTCCTGACAACGTTTCAGAGTCTAGACATGCGTTGCAGACGAGGAGGAAGTCTGATATATAGTACTCTGGGGCCACGAAGCGGAGGTACTTGTCTTGACGATCAAGGACAAGGGATCGAGCGATCGAACCCAGAAGCCTTATTGGATCTGGAGGTATAGGGTTTCTAGTGCGTGAGTCCTCCTTCTCTTGGAGTAAGCCATGCAATGGCTTATCCCGAGCGCAGACGAAACTCTTACACCGTGGTTCGCAGTCGTGGAGTGAGCCTAGGCTTTTGACCGTGTCCAGGATTATGCCGTTGCACCAGATCTCTTTTAGGTTTTGGTGGAAGCGCACATTGGCCTGTGCTTGTAGCCGCGGGCCAGGTGCATCGTACATGGCTTTCCAATTTTGACCATGCAGAGGTCTGAAATTTCCTATGTGCTCGCTGGCACTTTGACTCGCCATGAGCGGGACAGGGCTTGCAAACTCAGTGTAGACCCTCCAGTCGGGAACCCAAGATGGCACTGCGTTTTCGAGACCGGAATCATTCGGACCAGAATAGCGACTGAAGATATGAGAGAAATAAATGATATCAAGATTCCGGTACTCCTCGTAGAATGATCGGACGAGCTTCGCGTATTGATCTTGAACCGGCGTTTTATATTCAGGATTCCCAACCAGCCTTCGGTCTCGTGGTGTGATGAGACCAAGAACAGAGTAAATTCGATCCCTGGGGTCTGAGGCAGAGTGATTACCAAGATACGCGAGAACGGCTACGAGGGAGAGACCGCGACCATTCGGATTGACATGTAACTGATGAACTCTTCTTCTGTTGAAAGCCGCGTCGAATGCATGACGTGGAACCAGCTCATACTCCATGTCGCGCTCTCCCACACTGCACAAGAAAATGCTGTACATCGCCGCTTTGAATTTTCCGCGACTGATCGAAGTGGCTCCACAGTAGAACCTCACTTCCGACGGCATAATCATTTCTTGTAATGTCCATACTCGAGACCACCATGGGCGAGCTAGCAAATTGCTGACAGATATCCAATGAGCGGTTAGATCTGGAGATCGAAGATTCGCGCGTACAATAGCTGCATTTTTTCCGATGAAGGGTTGTAGGTTCTGTAGATCGTGCAGAAATCGGACGGCACCTCTACAGTCACTGTCGCCTTCCACCTCTTCACCGAGCCAGACCATCGTTCGGCGAGCTTTCTTGTAAATGTCTGCCATGATCCGGACCTGCTGCTCTCTCTCTTGACTATCTGCGAGGTTTATGCACAGTGAGTCTATCCACCACCAATCTTCATCGTGGAAATCTTCATGCTGGCTGACCATTCGCAGGAACGGAAAGAGACTTTTGAGTACCGGAATTCGTCCCGTCCGCAGCTGCAGAGTGGTATCCGAATATGTTTTCTCTCCCCAAGTGTAACTAACGCTAAAGAATTGCGGCACATTTGCGAGCTCGAACTGCTTCAGTCTGCCAGTGAGCTCGCCATTCTGCGACCTTGAGAAGCGAAGAAGCCGGATGGATGCACCATCTATCTGTTTAGCATAGACGGGGTTGGTAGGTGTATTGGAGTCGACGTCCATGAAGTTTGACGGGTGAAACTGCGGAAAGCGGATCTGGCGGCTCTTGAGATATGGCGGGGCTCATCAGGTGAGATTTAAAGGCCTTTTACCACATGCATAGCAGCACCTGAGTGCTTAAGCTTAGTAGGGGCGTAGGCTAGAATAGGTTACCAAAACTGATTTGCTCCTAACACGGGTTCAATCGTGCGCTAAGTCATGTCCGAGGTGAGGACTGAAGGTTGCCTGCCGCCTCAAAATGCGCGAGACTAGAAATAGCCCACAATGCGTAAGATATTTTGATCAGGTCATTAAAGACGCATGCCTAGAGCGACAAAATATATATAAGTATAAATCGGGACCAAAAAGAACCAAAAGAATATTTGTGTGACCCTGCCAGGGGCCGAAAGTGACCATGCCAGGGGTCGAACCTATGTTGATTTTAGCGTGATCACGTGATCATTAGATTATGTAATGCACACCTGGAATCTCTTGATAACGCAGTAGATCGTAGTCAAGCGCCTTGCCATTGGGCCACATGGCCGTTCTGTTTCTTCGATTGATGACTAAGAACATGATTCTAATCGTCATATACCCTTTTGCATAGCGTCGTCCAGCATGTTGTGTGCCCAACCAAATCTTGGAAGCTAACAGCCTCGACGTGTAGCATTCCATGTAAAGACGAAAATTTTCGTCTTGAACAACACCGTTAGCGAGCGAAATTTTCAAATCTCCCCACTTGTAAGCATACTACAAAAACATCCCTGTAGGAACGACATGCTGCGCCTAGATTTTGCAGGGCGCTTTGTCGAGAGCGGCCGAGGTTCATGTCTATTGTATACTGGCAGCATAGTATTTTTAGACTGTACACGACATGATAGCACATCCAAATGAGGAGCTCTTACTCAGTGGGCAGCGTGAAGACTGGTGAGACTCCCACGCCACTGCAAATGTATTTCTTGTAGGTCAGCTCTTCATTTCAGTCCGAATACGGTGGTGAGGTCCACAAGGTGATATGATCTTAGGTGGACGAGGTTGAGGCAGCGGAGCCCCGCGGTCAGATCGCGCAGTGCTCGAGGAACCACAGGGAACCATTCCTTGCCCAATTTACACTGCTCTAGAGCCATAATTACTGTGTAAGTGAAGCCCACTTCAGATACCTACCTAGGCACCCGTATGGAGACTGTGCTGTGGAATGCTACTCCGAAAAGCACAATATACGACTTCGAACCTTAGCCATGGGATGACATAGATATGACGTCCTCGAGACTTCCCATAGATACAGTTTTCGCTTGTGAGAGTGAGTAAGCTTGAAGGCACGAAGACCATTGGGGCTAAGTTTGCTAATGAAACGCCGTGGATTATTTAGGCCTCGAGAAGCTATTGCCATCCATGGATTTTACGCACCAAAACAGCTTGAGGCGAAGTTGTTATCCTGACGCAGTACACAATTGCCGAAGACCGAGACAAAATGTTAAACCACCAAGAAAATGCGCCTTACTGGCCGAGTGCGATGGGATGATTGATATTGCCCCAGATCTTCATACTCAGCCACATCCGCGTAGCACAGACAGCGCAATCCCTGCAAGTGCATGAAACGCGCGTTTGGTCTAAATTAGGTCGGATTCGCGACTATGGCCCGCCATCATTTGATGACCCGCACGTTTTTCCGTTGCTCGCTTTGCCTTTCACTCTCAGCGCGATGCGAGGGACAAGTTGCGTCGCCGCTCGTTTGTACACTGTTCTGCGCGCCGTGCCACTCTTTGGGCACGTTGTGTGCGCAGCCTCACCATAGCGGCATAGCCCAACCCCAATATACCTCAGCCTCATCTGACCTTCTACGGCCCTCATTTCCTGACTTTCCGCACTCCTCAACCTCCTTCGCTTCATGGCTTCGTTACTTGCTCAGCGTGCGCTGGTCGCGGCGCGCGCGGACACTATTGGTGATATCAAAGACACGCTCTCATCGTGGGACAAGTGCATGGCTAAGAATTACTGCAAGTACGTAATGCCGAAAGGCTAGCACAGTTCAGTGGCTGACATTCAAGAGGTGGCCCGTCATTGTTGCTATCATCATCGGAGGTATCATCGTGCTCTCTGTTGTACTGTGCGTAGCACGGTGCGTATGCTGCGGTGCCGAGGTGGCCTGCTGCTGTTTCAAATGTTGCAGTTGCTGCTGCCCTTCCGGGGGGAGGAAAGGTCACAAGCGTGTTAAGACCCCTCCGCCGCTTCCTTACAACAACTTGGCATACACGTCTGCTCCACCCGCACCCATCGCTCCACTCGATACGCGACCCTTAAATCAGCAATACCGATCGCATGCGGCTCCTACATTCAACCCGGCAACAGCGCCTTCCTTCAATCCCTCTACAAATCCTGCCGCGCCTCAATTTGCCAGATTTGACACGCATTCCAAACCAGTCAACGAAGATGCTTTACCTGCCATGCCTAGTTGGAAAGATGCAAAGAGCGTACAAGTGGAGGAGGAAGTCATCCCTGAAAAACGGGACGACGTAGAGATGGATAGGCTAGACCACAACGGAAGCATGACCGGGACTTCGATGGCAGCTGTAGCAGCAGGTGGCGGAGTCGCTCGGACATCTCCCGGGCCCGGAAGGTCTCCAGTGCAGCGCATGCAAACGGAGGACGGGTACGGATACTCTCAAGGATACGGAAATGATCCCTATGCTGGTGGGGCTCCTTACCGCAGCCCACAAGGTAGTGCTGCAGGCTATGGCGGTTCCTACGGTCAACGGCAAGACAGTTACCGCGGGGCGTCCCCTCCGCAACCGTCGCTTTCTCCTTTGTATGGAGCAGGTGCCGGTTATGCGCAAAATCCACTCGATCGACGATCACCAGGCCCAGGCGACTATAACAGACAGCCCGCGCGCCAATCACCGGCGCCAGCTTACGATCAGTACGACCAGCAACAGCAGTATGGACAACCTCAATCACGTAAGCCACCGTCACTAAACACAAACAACTATGGTTACGGAAACGCGAATCGGTATCAGGAACCCATGGAGGTGTCGCCTGTCTCACCCAGCCATGGCATGTACAACAATGGGTACGCTGCCGTGTCTGCTCCCAGAAGAGACCCCTCGCCGGTATACGCTCCTTCTGGCCCAGCCATGGTCGCACCTCCCATCCCATCTTCATCTCCATCACCTGCGTATCCTGGGCAGCAAACGTACGGGTCAGCGGAGACTTCTACCTATCCAACACATCAGCCATACAGGGCTTACACACCTGCTCCAGCACAGGACCAACAGTACTCCGGCGTTTCCAGAAAGCCTGTCGAGGGCTCTTGGAAGGAGATATAAGTGTTCCAGGACGAAGAATACCTTCAGTGACGATACGGTAGATGGTGATCTCTGTTTACGCACATTTCTGTTTCGATGCATAGCGACGGCGATACAAACTCGTTGCGCCGTTTTACAATCCAATAGGCGGTGTACGCTAGCGTCGGTTTTGAACGTTTCCATTCTGTATATACCTCATAGGGAAAATGCGCATGAGATTTGCGCGGCGTTGGTTTTGAACGTTTCCATTCTGTATATACCTCATAGGAAAAGTGCACATGAGACTTGCGCGGCGTTTTCCTAAATGATGCTATGATGAGTTAGCTGAAACTATCCTTTGCTTCAGTGTTCGTGCAGTACTGATTGTACATGTAATTAGGACTACTTGAGGCGCGTTGGGACTGGGGCAAGGGTAGCTGGGAGGTCGTGCTGTGCGGGTACATCGTAGGATTCGGGAGACAATGAAATACCCTTTGGTATTATGAGCTACGGACTGAGCAATGCATAAGCCGCACACATGTAGGATGAAAACATGAGTGATGCCACTCTCTGCGGTACGCAGCCGTGATCCTGGCACTGCAACTCCTGCCTTCCATCCTGTTTCGGATACGATAAAGCGTAATGCTGCATATAATTTTCAACTCAATGCGTCCTTTGTGATTACTAGTTATGGCGCCCTCGAAACCTTTCATGCGTCCTCTTCCACGACTGAAGTCGTATACTGTGCTCACATTGTTTCGACACTAGGAAAGTCCTTCATTACTCCGGCATGCTTGGGGTACTTCGCTGAATAACAAAAGTCCAAACAAGAACAAAGGAAGATACTGCGGACCCAAATACGAATTAGATTAGAGAAAGACTCGTTGTCTGTGTCAGCTCATTGAGCCTAAAAAGTGACCGTGCAAAAGAAATTAGCCCGCGAAAGAGGCCGAAGGAGGCAAAAGAGGAAAGAAGATAGGATATCAGTCAACACGACAAAGCTTGCCGTTCTCATTCGGCAGCCCATCAACGCTCTCAACTTTCCACCTCTCACTACCAACACTTGTGGTAGCGAAAAACACGTCATGCGGGTCTAGCTTCGCCTTCAACTCCAGCAGACGTGGGTACTTGTCGCCCCAGAACGCCTGTCCAAAGTTCGGCTCCAGACGGTCCGCTTCCGCGAGGTAAGATCCAGCACCGGGAGAAATGTCCCTCCAGCGCTGCATATCTCCGCTCTGGAACTCCTGTCGCACTTTCAACGTCTCGGCCGCCGTGCCGTTGGGGTTCCACCGCACAGCTTGCTGAGCGAACAAGATGTTGGGTCGCCAAGCTGGGTTGACGGCGTTGTCGGAATTGGCCGGGTCGACGGCCTTGATGTTAAAGTGTACTTGCACGCGGTTGTTCTTGCTCGATTGGCGTAGGTGGTTGAATAGCTCGTCGCGCTTCTCTTCGGTCTCAAAGTTCGCGCGGGGAAACATGCGGGAGCCGGTTGTGGAGTTGATCTTGCCGACGGTTTCGAGCGGGAAGGAGCTCCGCCAGGCTTCGTAGTAGGAATCGAAATGAGTGATGTTGGGGTCGAAGTTGATCCCAAGGTCGTTTAGGCGGGTGAACCAGGGCTGGAGCAGTGCTTTGGTCTCCTCAAGTGTCTTGTTAGGCGCGAAAAAGGGTGACATGTTGAACGTAAAAATTCCCGTCCAAACGTTGGGGATAAGCGTCCAGTACGCGTAGGTGCCTGCGTCGGCGTTGGGAATGAAATAATCGACGTAGGCGCGTATGCCTGCCCAGAATGTCTCGTTGCCAATCTTCTCAGATGTGAAGGAGAACCGCGATGCCGTCGTGGGGAAGTCAGGATGGGCTTTGACTGTGACTGAAGTCGCAATGCCAAAGGTAGATCCACCTCCGCCACGCATCGCCCAGAAGAGGTCGGTATTAGAAGTCGAGTTGGCTGTCACGAATTTGCCGTCTGCAGTGACGACCTCAAAGGCGAGTACTTGGTCTGCTCCGGTGCCATAGCTATATCGCATTAGTATGGCTTTCTGACACCGATGGACTTCTACTCACAGTGATGTCAGAGGAGAGTGCCCGCCACCCTGAATGTAGCCACCAAAGATGCCCACTGTTTCACCCTCGCCACCAACAACGGAATGCCCCTTCTCATGAGCAGTTTTGTAGATTTCGAACGCCTGAACACCCACTCCAGCCTTGAAAGCTGGCCCTGAGTATCCAACTTTTTCGTCCACAAAGTTCTCGAAGTACTCAATGT